CCTGAGTTTTGGGCCATTTTATCAAGTAAGATCTTGCATTCTCTAAACGTTTTGCTTAAAAATGCTCCACCCGCTGAAGCATCAACATTGGCCTTTAAGTCGTCTGCCAGTCCTATGTAAAACCTCTGCCCCAACATCTAATCTGGAATGCCATGATGTGGGCACTTAACCAGCATACCTTTGAACCTCTCCCACGTTTCTTGTAGTGATTCTATTGGTCTCTACCTGAAGCTCAATATATCAACAATTTGTTTGGCAGTCTTATTGGGTGGGTAGAACTTGTTCAAAAATTGCTTGACTAATTCCTCTCAAGTAGTGATGGAGTTTATGGGGAGTGAATTAAGCCAAGTCTTAGCTTCTCCTGTCACCGAGAATGGAAAAAATAACAACTTTATTTCTTCCGGTGTCACATTAGGTTGCCTTTGCGTGACACATATCGATAGGAAATTCTTCAGATGCTGCTGAGGATCTTTAATGTATGACCCTGAGAACAGTCCCTTGTTCTGCAACAAATGTAGCATGTTGTTTGTGATTTGAAATGATTCTGCTTGTATCTGAGGGACTGCAATTGCGGTTGCCAGGTTGTCGCAGTTGTGCCCAATCATACAATGCTGCTTCTGGCACAAGAGGCACCACACCCCGATTGTTCGGGTCATTCTCATTGTTTCTGTTGTTTGGATTTTCTACTCCGTCATCCATGTCTGGTTCAATTTATTCTGTTGAGTTCTGTTGCTGTTTGCCCTTCTTGTTTGCCCGATTAAGTGCCTTGAAAACTTTCTCAGGATCTGATAATGCTTCGAACAATTCACCAGTTCTTGAGGAGTTTCTAGGCATGCACCTAAAAACACCTAACACTACAAACGTTAGAATTTTAATGTATTTAGTTTAAAATGAAGAAAATTGACTACACTAAGATTCTAGCACTTTTTTAGCTGTAATTAATAACACCGTTAATTCCCCGGTAACGACGCCAAAATTTGATCACGCCCAACTATGCCTTATAATAAGGACTAAGCGATCGTTGCAAATATATTCCGGTTAATAAGCCCAGAGTCGAATCCCACAGGAAATTAACCTATTAAGCACAGCTATTAGACTCGCACAAATTCATGCAATCAATCTTCAAAAATATTTATGTAACAAATTGAATGTTTACTAACTAAATATTACGTAATGAAAATGCAATAAATAATAACTAACTATGAACGGGTTATAGACAAGAATTAGAATGATCTAAAGTTATGATTTCCCCTATTGTCGGAATCCTTTTTGCTACATTTTCTATAAATTTGCCTAAGTTTTCTCTACTGATTATGAGCGCTTTGAGTGTTGTAATTCTCTCCCGAGTACCTACCATAATTTACCAGACATATTCTCCCGAATTACGCTAGCTGGCATTAAGTACGGCTCATTCGGATCGCACCAAGGTTTCGTTATCCCTAATCCCATCTTTAAACCCTTCGTATTGATCCCTCATATATGTTCGGAGTGATGTTGTTCAACAACTACCTAAGAGGGTGTTTGGCTAAGCTAATAAGCTGGTCAAACTAGCTTATAAGCACTTTTCGATTTATCTACGCGTTTGGTAAAGTTAAAAGTGCTTATAAGTCAAAAATAAGCCAAATATCATAAGCTGGTCACCCCCAGCTTATGAATTTTTAGCTTATAAGCACTTTAAGTTGGACCAAGATTTTTACTATTTTATCCTTAAAATATTCCTTTTTAGAACAAAATTCCTACATTGATACTCACTGCCTCAAGTATTTTATCAACCTAACCCCCTCTCCCCCCGCGCCTCTTTAAGTCTGCAATTCTCATTGACTATTTAAGATAAGAAAACTATCTATTCCTTTGCATATTTGTATCTATGTGATTATGTATTAATCTTTGAACTATATTAATCTTTGAACTGTATGTAATAAATGAGGACATATCAAATTTTTGGTGTATTGCTTTCTAAGTGTTGTGGTGATGAAGACACTGTTTCTCTTCAAATATTTTGTCCTATTTATGTTTTTTTTTACTGAGAAAATTTTGTCAATTTATTAATTATTATAACTTATGATTATATGATTATCATAAAATAAATTACATTATCATAAAAATTATCTTATCTAAGCACAATTGTATTTAAAATAAAATGACAAATAGAATATTTTGTTTTTGAATCGATTTGGAATCTAAAATTTTGAAGAATTAAATCAGTTTCAACACTTAAAAGTGCTTTTTAGCACCTAATGCTTATCAGCTAATCCAAACGAGCTCTAAATATGTACTATCTCCCGAGTAATACACACTAAATAGGCACAGTTGATTGAGGGCCCTTCAATCGACAACAATAATAATATAGTTGAACAAATAGAGAAAATACTACGGCAAATCTATATTAATGTAACAAAAAAATCATCCTTCAACAGGTTCCATCAAAACCCAAGATTAGGAATTTAACTACTCATACTTATAGTAACAACATCCAAAATATTTTGCATAATTAAAATACAAAGTAAAGATGAAAGGATGTAGAATTAATGATTCTAACTCCCAACCGGTGTTCCACAAGCTATTCTTGCCTCCAATTGCAAAACTCCTGGCGTTTTTAGGTCTATTTATACGTGTAGGAAAAGACCTAAACGCGTAGGCCAAGTCCTAGTCAAACCAGGAGACGAAATAAGTCTTCAAAGCTCGGAATGTAGATGCCCAGAACTGGCCTTGCGAGGCATAACGCCAGCTTAAGCTCGCCCCAGGCCTGGCGCCGCGAGGTATAACGCCTGATTGAGCTCGCCTTCTGCCTCGCCTCGCTAGCTTCACCTCCTGGTGGACCTCGGCCCAGGCCTCGCCTCGCCAGCTCCCACGCGAGGTAAAGAGCTCGCCCAACCTGTTCTAGGCCTGGCTTCGCCAGCTTTACATTTGTCAGCTGCTCACTTCTTTCTTTCTTCTTTTCAAGTGTTTTTGAGCACGCTTTAGACTTTAATTATTTATTTTGCTCTACTTTCATCTCCAATTCGCCTACACATAATAGACTCCATTACGCGCAAATAAAGTGTAATTTATCATTAAAGCATATAAAATGCAAGACAAATAATGTACGAAACTATGAAATTATAGCCACACATCAAACACATAGGTGATCTATGATTTAATCAGGACCTCCCACTTTATAAAGAAAATGATCGTGATAGTAACAAATAAGCGATCAACGAGAGATCACATAGACGATCATAGTAATACATGGATGATTTCTAGATAATATGTAAGTCAATAATTTCATCATGATAGCTTACTTTATTTAAAAAAATGATCATTCTGATAACCAATAAGCGATCAATCAAAGAACACATAGGCGATCACAAATAATACATGGGCGATTTTTAGGTAACACATAAGAAATCTATGATTACTCCATGATCTCTCGCTTTATAAAAAATAATTCCAGTAATAACTAATCAGAGATCTACCGAAAATGACTACGGCAATCATAAATAATATAATGACGATTTCTAGGTAACATATAGAAAATCTATGATTTCACCAGGATTTCTCACTTTAAAAAAAATGATCCTAGTAATAACTGATAAGCGATCAATCGAAGATCACTTTGGCGATCATAAATAATATATAGGTCATTTCTAGATAACAGATAGGCGATATATGATTTCACCAGAATCTCTCACTTTATAAAAGATGATCCTAGTAATAACTTAAAAGCGATCAACTAGACATCACTTAGACGATTATAAATAATACATGGGTGATTTTTATATAACACATAGGTGATCCATTATTTCAACAAGATCTCCCACTTTATAAAAAGACAATCCTAACATAACTAATAAGTGATCAATGAGAGATCACTTAAGGCGATCACAAATGATGCATGAGCGATTTTTAGGTAACACATAAGCGATCTATGGTTTAACTTGGATCTCCCACTTTATATAAAAATAATCCTGATAATAACTAATAAGAAATCAACTGAAGATTACTTAGGCGATTATAAATAATACATATGTATTTCTAGATAACACATAGGCGATTTATGATTACATCCGAATCTCCCACTTTATAAAAAATGATTCTGATAATAACTAATAAGAGATTAATCGTAGATCTCTTAGGTGATCATAAATAATACATGGGCCGATGGGCAATTTATGGATACATATAGATCTATGATTTCACCAAGATCACTCACTTCATAAATAAACGATTTTGGTAATAACTAATATGCGATCAGCTGGAGATCATTTTGGCGATCATCAATGATATATGAGTGATTCCTAGATAGTACGTAGGCGATCTATAATTTCTCCAGCATCTCCCACTTTATAAAAAACTATCCTAATTATAGCTAATAAATGATCAACCAGAGATCACTTAGACGATCATAAATAATACACGAGTGATTTCTAGATAACATATAAGCAATTTAATTTCACTATGATCTCCAATTTAGAAAAAATGATCATAGTAATAACTAATAAGCAATCAACCGAAGATTACTTAGGCCATCATGGTGATTTCTAGATAACACATAGGTGATCTATGAATTCACTAATACGCGAATAACTGGACATCACTTAGGCGATCCACTACACCAAATTTAAAAAAATCAGAAGTAAACTCATATTCCCCAGTTTATCTACTGAAACCATATATATATATATATATATATATATATATATATATATATATATATATATATATATGTGTGTGTGTGTGTGTGTGTGTGAGAGAGATATCAAATGTGCATTCATTAAAAACGTCAACTATGAATCACTCTAAGTTATAAGTATGGATATCCAAGTATATACCTTTACATGTAGTAAGTTTTGAAGAAATATTTCTTGACACTTGCCAGAAAAATGAAGAATTGGTTCACGCACTTGCTTCTGCACACTAGAACATGTTGGGGAACTGAAATCACTACAACCAAATTATTTAACTTAACAATCAAACTATCAGTAAAACAAATAATAATAACTGTCAAATTAGAGCAAGATCATTACCTTTTACACATAAATAACCAACGAGCAGTTTGTGGACAGTATGTATGATAAGAGAACTACACATTATTTATATGTTACACAAATTCTAACTTTAATATAAAGTGATACAATATCAAGAATACCTTAAATGTTAGACAATGAGACTGATATCAGCTCGCAGTTCCCCTATTATAAGCCTCATGTTGTACAATATCATTGCTGCTTGTGCAGCCAAGTTTAACTGCAAGTTCTTCAACTGCTACTTTGACAACATCACTTCGAACACCAATGTCAGTCGCGTATCTGCTCATACAATACATTCCTGCTGTTACTGTGGCAACACCAACAGGACTAGGAATTAGCAACTTCAGAGGGGAGGAAAGAAGCGCGGCTAAAGGAGCGCCAACGACAGAAGAAGCTTGTCCGCTACTTCCAACACCGAGTCTATCAACTGTCACAAGACCTGTTTTGCAATATAGTGCAAAGTCCTCACAATTGTTTTGGAACACATCATAGTTCCCAAATCCATTTTGAAGAAGATACATTGCTCGGTGTATGACCATCTCTGGAGGGTCAGACGCTGCAGTAGTGCAAGTGCCTCCTCGCACTTTGGTAAGAAAAACGGATGGGCTTACTCCATACTCGAAGATATAGAGTGAACCATTACGGAGAAAGCAATCCAGACATGATAGAACGACGCCACTGTTAGGTAGCTTAAATCCACAGTCAGGAAAAGTTGGACATGAAGAAGAAAGGTCTGATATTTCCTCAGCAACATCAGAAGAGGCAGAGGTCTCGACACGGTTAAAATGGACCACTTTGCTTCCACCAACAAAAATACCTATGAATACAATCATATTTCTCAGAAGACTTTAGACTAGAATACCCAACCCCATAAGCTTCAAACTCTAGCTCCGCCTCTTATCCCTCAGTCCTAAATAAAGTTGGGGTCGGCGATATGAATCCTCACTTCTTTCTTTTAAGTTCAACTCATATCATCTTCGCGCCAAAATAAAATAAAAGTGGTTGTGAAAATAAGGTAACGCTTTCCTAATTTGAGGGCCAAAAAATCCAAAATAAACAAGATATCAGGATAACTCGAGATAGTCATATGTGGAACACGTGCGAGTATGAAACATAGTATATTTTACCCTATACGGATAGTCCCCCTGCTTTCCAGTGACATAACTTTGTGTCGTCGGAAAGTTGGTAGAAACATAATAATATAATTAAGCATAACTTTTAAGAATATATAATGCATATTAACAAAATTTCTTAATTTAAATAATTATTTTTATATTACGTGCATGGAATATATATTTTACAACCTTTATTTTCTTTCATTTTGAATTGTGTATATAAATTTTTGAATTTTTGTTGTTAATACTAAAATTTTTATTACGAACAAATTATTCCAATTAATTTTTTTTACTATGCTCATTATTTTGTTATTCCAGCATTATAGATGCTTAAGTACTTTTTATTTTTGTAATTTATAAATAATATTTATTTATTCTATAGGTAAGTCCATAATATAAATTAAAAAAGGAAAAATCATAATATTAAAAAGTTTGAAAAAAAATAAAACGAAGATAAATGTTTATAATTAGAGGGTAGAATAGGTATTTGGCAATTCAAAATTTAGAAAATCTAGTTGAGTGACTTTCTGAGTGCAATATGCATAGTTCAGTGACTTTGTTATTACAAACGAAAGAAAAGTGACTTTAGGAGATAATTTGGGATAGTTGAGTGACCATTTAAGTAATGGACTCGAGGAGCTAGTTAACTTAACAATCCCAAACAAATCAAATTAAGTGCAATACAGTAATTTTTATGAGAAAAGGTAAATCTTGACTGTCAAAAACCAAATGAAACATTAAGAAGAAGAAATCAAAGATGGGGTAAACACTGCATTACCATGGTGGGAATAAGCAAAAACAGCTCTGTAAGTGTAAATATGATCTCCTGCTTTGATCTCACTTCTCTCAACTCTGTTTGTCAACAATCCCATCTTCTCTACTCAACTTCTCTGTTCTTGAAAATACAATGTACTATTTTACAAATGTTAAATCATACATGCAAATGGACACACTTCACCGTTTCTTTATCTCTATATAATAATAACAAAATAGAGAAAATGTGTCTGAAACTGAGTGGTTCACCGAATGATTTGCTCAACCACCGTTACCAATGAAAAAAATTCTGTCTTTTTCATGTATTAAATATTTGTTTTCACCTTCCCTGGCTGGGAGTGTGACATTGATCCCTAACTAGTAGTAAAAGAAGTATTCGTTCGGTATCAATTTACATGACACACTTTGACTCGACACAAAATTTAAGAAGAAAAAAAAACGTTTGAGACTTATGGTCTTTTAAAGCATAAATGGTAAAAACTTTGTTGGACCATAACCTTTATGCGGCTATAACTCTTCAAACATAGAATTGTACGTATTATTTTTTTGGAACGAACTAATAAGTAAAGTGTGTTAGCCAAACAACTTGCTAAAGATGATTAAATTAGCCAAACCATAGTATTAGTGGGATGAGTTAGTAGGAAAATAAATTACCATACACCTATGATTGGAATAGTGGCGGAGCTAGGATTTCAAATTTATGGGTTCGAAATTCTAATTCTTTTAAGTTACTGGGTTTTAAATTAATTTTTAAAAGGCGAATACAAGATTTGGACCAAAACTACTGGGTTCGACTGAACTTGTAGCCGGCTCTGTGGCTCCGAAGACCTCTATTTACAATCGGTCCTATTATCTTCTAGCTCCAGATTGAAACAAATATCAATAATATGATTTGTGATTTTTTTTTCCACCTTTTCTTGGTTGATGCATCATGATGTTCTTGCACCATTGGTCAATCATCATATATTTTATATTCTTCCACCGCGACTAGAGACGGGATGGTCTCAAGGATCTCATACTCGCACGTGTTCCACATATGACTGTCTCGAGTTATCTGGCTCGAGTTAGACAAGCCGAAAAGTCGCTTATGCCACATGTGGCCGACGTGTTTTACATATGACTATCTCGAGCTATCTGGCTTTAGTTAGACAAGCAGAAAAATAACCTATGCCACATGTGGCCAATGTGTTTCAAATATGACTATCTCGAGCTATCTAGCTTGAGTTAGACAAGCGCATAAAAATAGCTTATGCCACATATGGCGGACGTGTTCCACATATGACTATCTCGAGCTATCTGGCTTGAGTTAGGCAAGCAGAAATGACTATCTCGAGCTATCTGGCTTAAGTTAGGCAAGCAGAAAAGTATCTTATGCAACCCGTGGTCGGTCTGACTATCTAGTATATCTAGTTCTAGGACTAAAGAGTAGAGGCATTCTAAGTTGTTCGGACACGGGTGCGGATGTCCGACACGGGTACGGATCTAGAGGTCGGATCCTTCGAGATGTAAATTCTAAGATTCGGGAATACGGATCCTAGTACGGATACGGGTGCAAAGATCCAGCTAAAAATAATTCAAAAAAATAAAAATATAAAAAGTGTCTCTAAATTATGAGAAATACTTAAGTATAGATTGTAAATTGTGAATTTCTTTTTTATTCTCAAGTTGTAGATAAGTAAAGGATTGATTTCTTTGATAACGTATGCTATTTTCTTCAACTTTGCCCTAATTATTAGGATTCTGATTTCGGGAACCAAATTGTATCCCGTCTTTAATTTTCCGCCCGTCGTAGCCATACCCACACCCATAACTACCATGTCGGAGCAACTTAGGAGGCATTGCTTTGTGGGGGGGGGGGGGGGGGGGCTGGGTTGGTCGATCGCAGCTTCTCGCTAAGATAGATGAATGTAATATTGTGACGACCCGACCCGTCGTATCAGGTATTACTGCCCCGTTTTCCTCATTTATTACTTCTTCATGTTTCATTACCGGTATGTGGTGAGTTAGAGTTGATTCAGATTGGTTTTGATAAGGAATGAAACACTTAGTCTCTTTTAAGAAGGCTTAAGTTGGAAAAGTCAACCGGACGTTGACTTATGAGTTAGAGGGCACGGATGTGATTTCCGGTGATTCGGTTAGCTTCGGGAGATGATTTGTGACTTGGGAGCGTGATCGGAATTTATTTTGGAGGTCCGGTGTAGAATTAGGCTTGAATTGGCGAAGTTAGTATTTTGGCGAATTCCGATTGATAGGCGAGATTTTGATATAGGGGTCGGAATGGAATTCCGAGAGTTGCAGTAGCTCCGTTATGTCATTTGGGATGTGCGTGCAAAGTTTCAGATCATTCGGACGAGGTTTGGTAGACTTTTTGATCGAAAGTGCATTTCGGAAGTTTTTGAAGAACTTAGGCTTGAATCCGATGTGATTTGATGGTTTTAGCGTTGTTTGATGTGTTTTGATGATTGGAACAAGTTTGAATGATGTTATGGGATATGTCTGTGCTTTTGGTTGAGGTCCCGGGGGCCTCGGGTAAGTTTCGGGGTGGTTTCGGACCATTTCTAGGCCATTTTCAACTGCTGGTTTTTGGCTACAGCAGTGTTCTATGCGATCGCGGGGAATTGGTCGCGATCGCGGTGAGTAAAATGTGAGAAACGTGCCAATGAATCGCGATCGCGTGAAGCCTTTCGCGATCGCGGAGAAGAAATATTCTGTTGCGTTGATTCCACTTCGGAAGCTTATATCTCACAATATATAAGGAATTTGGAGATGATCCAAAAATAAAAATTGTAGCCCTTTGTGTCTAGTTTTCAGAAATGTAAATTAATTGGAATTTAAATTCGTGTACAAAAAGTTATGGTGGTTACACTATAGGCTGCCCAGGAAGGTCTCTAATTCACAGGGATGACTTTGGAAGCTTATATCTCGCAATGTATAAGGAGTCAGGAAATGAGCAACATATGAAATTATAGCCCTATGTGTCTAGTTTTCACAACATCAAACCATTTGTAATTTGGAGTTGTGTGCAAAAAGTTATGACCACTATACTGGAGGCTGTCCGGAAGAGCTGGGAACTGTTCATCGCGATCGCGAAGCATTGTCCGCGATCGCGAAGAGTAAATTTTGGGCTGGAAAAATTGTTCTCCGCGATCGCGAAGCATTTTCCGCGATCGTGAAGAGTAAATACCTGGGCAGAATGTTTTAAAACACGTCGGTCGCGATTTTGGGGTCATTTTACACCCATAATTGCTCGTTTTTGGAGATTCTTGAAGGAGATTAATGAGGGATTCAAGGAGGAACGTTTGGAGGTAAGTTACTTGGACTCAAAACTCGTTTTTATTGTGAAATCCATCTAGGAAATCATTGAATTTTTGCTAAAATGGAGGAATAGGGCTTGGAATTTTCAAATTTTTAAATTGGGATTTGAAGGGTCAATTGTGGATGGATTTTGATGTTCTTAGTATGTATGAACTCGTGAGGAGATAAGGAATCCGGTGATGTGAATTTTGTAATTTTTCGAGAAGTGGCCCGGGGCTTCGGTTTTCCAACTTCGTGATTTTCGATGTTTTTTCGAGTCTTTTGATTGTGTTAGTTTCCTTAGCATATTGTGATGTATTCGTCTTAATTTTGGTTAGATTCGACGCGCGTGGAGGCCGATTTGAGGGGCAAAGACGTCGCGGCTAGGATTTCAAACTGGTTCGAGGTGAGTAATGATTGTAAATGATATCCTGAGGGTTTGAAACCCCGGATTTGCACCATAGTGCTATATTGAGGTGACTTGCACGCCAGATAGAGAGCGTGGGGTAGAGCACCGTTGGGGATTGTGACTTGGTCCGCTCCGGTTGTTGATTTTACCGGCGTATTTCGCTATGACTTGTTGTTTTTTCACTAGGACTTGGGCTATATTGCATATTTGGGGCTTATTGCCGACTGTTTGAAACTTCCTATGAGCTATATCACTGTTTTCGCTCACTATTTGAAATATCATTTTGAACTCAGTCCATGTCATTACACTGTTTCATGACTCAGCTATATTTTACTCACCTCGAGTTTTAACTGATATTTGAACTACTGTTTTGAGCTGAGCATTATTGCTTTCTTTACTGATGCCCGAGGGGCTTATGATTTTTTTGGACTGATGAGGCCGAGGGCCTTATGTGAGGATATGCTGAGTGATGTGAGGAGGCTTTCAGGCCTCGAGTGTATTTGTGAGGAGGCTTTCAGGCCTCGAGTGTATTGTGAGAGGCTTTCAGGCCTCGAGTGTATTGTGTAGGAAGGCTTTCAGGCCTCGAAGTGTGCTGTGAGAAGGCTTTTCAGGCTCATGTTGATATGTACAGGCTTTCAGGCCTTATGATGATATAGGCTTGGGCTGTAGGAGCCCTCCCGGAGTCTGCACACCTACAGTGAGCGCGGTACCCATCTAGAGCGGTTAAATTTTAGAACAGTGGTAACAATGACACTGTCATACGCGTTTTGGTGAGGTAGCAATGACTGACCAGTCAGGTAACAATGACTGCACAGTGGTAACAAGGCACTGTAATACGGCGTTTTGGTCAGGTAACAATGGCTGACCGGTCAGGTACAATGACTGACTAGTAACGAAAATCATGCCCGAGGGGCGAACTTTATGTGCTCATCTTGCATACTTATTTGCTTTTTTACCTGCTATGCTGTGGTATTTGTGCCCGAGGGCGGATTTTCTGTGCTATACAGCATAACTATTTTGAACAGCTTTTGTAATTATTGAAAGGACCATTTTCAAAAGAGATTTGAATTGAGCCGAACAATTCCTAAAGAGTTCTCTGATGTCACTGTTTTCTCCGAAATTGTACCCCGGCTTCTGTAGCCCGTTGGTTTTGCTTTACGTGATTTCTTGCTGCCTAAGTTTTATTTATACTTCTATTACTTCACTGAGTTGGAAGTACTATTCACTTTACTCCCTGCACTCGCGGTGCAGTTGCAGGTATCTTCGACCCGTTAGCGGTTATTAGCGGATTGAGGTATTGTTATTGTAGCTGAGCAAGGTGACCGCCAGCGTTGCGCGGCACCGGATGTTGTCTTTTGTTTTCCAGAATTTTTCTTTATATATATTTATTGGCCTGTAGTTGTGTTAAGGTTTCTTAGATGCTCGTGACTTGTTGACAGCCCCGATCGGGATTGTGTGGGTTTGTAAATACTGGTTTAATA